ACGCATGTGGAGGCCCGAGGTTGACATCAACCATCTTCCTCAATGAACCTGGTATAGATAACAAATATGTCACATTTTTTACTATTTATGTGGTCCTAGATTAATTCTGGCAATATTAAAATACATTTTTTTGTGTGCCTTTTATGTATTTTAAGGGGTTTTACTGAATAATCGGTCTGTTTTAATCTCATAATCTTCAAATGTCCCTTGAGTGATCTCCTGATGGCGTTTGCTTCCTGTGTGGTTAATTATAAAGCAATTAGTTCCTAATGAGGTTTTGCTTCCTGACTCTGTTTACCACCACAGCCTCTACATCCGCCCATTGATGCCAAAAAATGCGGAAGCATCACTTTGCTAGCCGTCCTGGTAGAGCAGTTAAGGAAATTCCCAAACAGTGAGCTGGAGACCTGCTTTCTTCGCTTTCGGTTTGGATGATATACAACAAACTGATTTCCACTACTGAGCCGGGCAATCAGAAAATGGAACCTTCCTGACTCAAGTTTCATTGGAAAGGTTTTTATTGTTTGGGAGAAGGATCTTGTTCTGTAGCTCAGTCTAGCCTGAAACTCATCATGTAGCCCAGGCTGTCTCCAGTTCATGGCAGTTCTGCTTCGACCTCCTGAGTGCTGCTGTTACAGGAGTCATCATTCTCAGGTTAGTACAGTTTTCACTGAAGCGGGAGTGGAGGCGACGCTCTGAGAATTTCTCAACACAGAACTGGAGAACGACCTAGAATCACCATCCAACTGTACAGCAAGCAACGGCAGCATCATTGCTTGCAGGAAAAGTATACTAGGGTACCTTTGTTTTCTAATCAGGTTGCCATGGAAAAGGGAACACCAATACAGGCTGAGGACCTATTGTGTGTCAAGCACCATATAAGACTTTCATTTTCATATCTCATTTTATTTAATGTTCAGGGCAAAACTATAGCTGCATATATTTTTTTTTCAGTACAAAATAATTAGAAATTAGGGAGTTAAGGTTTAGGGAATTTTAATAACATGTTCAAGGTCATATATTCATTAAATTGAAGGCCTTGGATTTGAAATGCTTCAAGTAAAAATCCACATAATTGCCACTTCAGCACAAGTTTCATGCTTATTTTTCTGCCCTTTAGAGTCTCCCTCCCTGGTTTATGGGATCAGCCTAGTCACCTTGATGCATTTTACAAGGCAAATGGGCTCGTGAACTACTAATTGCAGAGTGTGAAGAACCCGTCATTACTGAAAGAAAAGTCGTGGCTTTACAGTGATGGGTTCAGATAGTTTTCTTAAGAGACTCTGGATAGCTTGCGAGGCTCTCTGTGATCTCTCTTTGATAGCAGAGCCACAAGGAGCAAACAAACTTTGTAAACATCCATATCCACAGTAACTCCATTCTAATCATTAGCCTTTAGATTAACAGTTGTAAGGGCTAGGCTGCTGTAAGTTAAATATAGCTTCCCTCCCTCCCTCCCTCCCTCCCTCACTCACTCCCTCCCTCCATCACTCCCAAAAATCAATCAATCAATCTCTTCCTTCTATCTACTATTCCTTCCCTCTTTTTATTTTTCTAAGACAGAATCTTGCTATATATCTCTCACTGCCCTCAAACTTGCATCAATCCCCTTGCCTCCATCTCCCAAATGCTAGCCTTCTGTCTTACTAAATTTCTTTCCATAAGAATTCATGAGATGCAGATTAGCATGCTGCTAACACTTTGGAATAATCCTGGGTTTATAGCCCTACGTCAGAAGAGGAGGTCTGTGGTTACAAAGTAAAGGAAAAAGTATACATAAAAGTAATATATGTAATTGGGCTATAAATTTGCAATGTATAATATAAAATACATCTATATATACGCAGATCAAAAGGCTGAGATAAAAATGTCCGAATGCCATTGACATCTGTAGGTAAAGAGACTCAGAACCATCTCACTCCATTTTAAGAATATTTTTCTTCATTTTCTAAATGTTTGAAAAAAATAAAAATATGTAGTCACACCCCAACTCCCATCCAAGGCCAGTCTGAGAGACAGGTGATGCATTCCACCCATATTTTAAAGATGTGTTCTTCTGAGAGGGCTCTGATAGGGTGGGAGGGCGCACATAGCCTCAAACGGAAACAATTTTGTTTGTGAGGGAATTCAGCTTCAAAATGGAAGTGAGGCGTTTGTCTCTCTCTGATGCCATGGCAACCAGAGGGAACGCACAAAGCCCAACAAGGGCGTGAAATGCGCCTCAAGAGTGGGTAAGGAGGCGACCTTGCACTTCTATTTCCTCGCATTTCCGCTAGAACAGAAGGCTGCATTGTATGTTCACCGCCGACGTCATCCCTTTCTAGTCAGAGGGCTGCCATAAGAAGGAACAAGCAGTAGCAATAACCTTCTCTGTATGGAGTTGTGCCCGATCCCCAAGTGTGTCCTTTTTCTGCGCAGGTTCTCTCCTTGACATCCTCACCTTGCGTAGGTGTTGTAGTGAAGTGTCTGGGTTTACTATATACTTCTCTGTCAGGACATCTCTTGACTGGTTGGATGACCGGAACTAACAAACAAAACCTCAAAACCTTCCCACCGTGTAGAGCTTGATAATGAAGCTCCTGTCAATTGTAGTCTAATGGAAAAGAATAGTAGATGATATCAGTTAAACTCTGTAACTACTGGGAACTTGGCTTGCAGTTCCTTACAAGGTTGGCATTGCATAGAATACTTTCCATATTTACCTAGGTTGTCCTGTTTGACCATCGCTGCAGGTATACTGAAGATTTAGGCCTGTATAGGTAATGAACAGCCCCAGATGGGTCGAGGAGGTTTTCTCTCCTCCATCCCTCAGCTGCCTGGCTGGGTTCAGGGGCCGCTGGCCATAAGAGCACCTTCTGAAGTTTCTGTGTGATGCTGCACATTGCTAAGACTGAGTGCTGAGAGTGAGTGTCCAGGAGGGAAACACACAATTCTGCAGGGCTGAGCAATTTGGTCATGATGGTGTCTGGTGCTTTCCAATCCGGTGACAATTGTAACGGACTGATTACAATTGTCTTTGGTTAAATTTATTCAGTTTAATTCAAGGTTTTAAGGAGAGTATTGACAGACTGGATATATAGTTACAGAGCCCCTAACAAACCAAGTTCTTGTTGCTAAGAGAGAAGCAGCAAATAGGAAGAAATTATGTAAGAGAATAAAGAAGAGAGTAGCCTGGAATGGAAATAATTCTGCTTACTAGAGTGATCTGGGAATGGGCTGTCCTTCTATAAGATACGCATACACATTGTGTGTATGGTTTGGTAGTTCCTCAATAAATGTTAGTAAGGTATGATAATAAATGTTATAAAATAAATGTTAGATTATATATGTATCTATCTATTTTCTTTCTTTCTTTCTTTCTTTCTTTCTTTCTTTCTTTCTTTCTTTCTTTCCTTCCTTCCTTCCTTCCTTCCTTCCTTCTTTCTTTCTTTCCTTCCTTCCTTCCTTCCTTCCTTCTTTCTTTCTTTCTTTCTTCTATTGTCTGTCCATCTATGCTTTGTCTATCTATCATCTCTTTTTATACACTTTCATTGGTTTTTAAGTTTTTATTTCTATATCAGTTTTGGCTGACTGGTACTCCATCAGCATTCTTGACATGCTGAGTACATAATATTTGTTGAGTAGACAAATGAAGGAAGGAAAGCTTGCAGTGATATCTGGTATTTAATTCTGAGGTAATGTTAGTATTCTTTGGTTCAAAAGAATTAAAAATATTCATATACCATTGCTACAAAAATTTCCACTATAATAAAAATAGTGGTGTTGGTCAATAATTTAATATTAAATCAACCATTGTAGCTGTTCTTTTTCATCCTTTTTCTTTTCCCTTCTTGATAGATTTTCTTATAGATAGTTCTAAAAAAGTAGGGAAATCTTACTTTTTAAGCTGGTTGCTTGAAAACTAATTTTATTTGAATGTTTAACTATTTGAAGCCCTCATTGATGAACTTTTTGTAGTGGAGATGTATTCTGTTCTGAAACCCATGTGTGCAAAAAGGACATTTAACTTTATTTTCCTGTCTAAGGATAGAATTTTAGACATGTCTACCAGGAGTGGACAGCATAACTTCACTAGTTAGATCCTCCCTTCTTCTAATTTCTAATTAGAAGAATTCTTATTAGAGTCCAACTATGGGTGATCTTTTGGAGGTAAGAGGTCAAACGCAATAGTTACTTAGAATCGTGCCACAAACCAGGGACCGAGCCTTCAGGACAGAATCTGGGGTGGGGTGGGCATTTCAGATCAGAATGCTAACAGCACCTAAGACTGAACAAGAGACACAGCAGGCATGTGTTCCCTGTTTGCTTTTCTGCCACTGGACAGTTTCCTTTTATACTTTTCCTGGTCCCCAGTATGAAGCAGGGATGATTGGAAAGCAGGGCGAGGGCACCTTGCTGAATTCCCATGATGCTTTAGTGTGAGAGAGCATGACCAGCTGCTTGTTAGCTCCAGAAGTTTGGGAGCTTCTGATTCAGAGCAGCAGCTGCTTTTGTACAGGGAGAAGGAAATGGGAAGTATTTTTCTTTTTATTTGACATGACAATGAAAGAAAATATCTCTCCAGAAACAGAAAAGAACAAGTGAGCAGGTGAATTAACAGAGAAAAGATGATCAAAAGACCAGGTATCCCATACAGCTAAAGAGATGTGGTTCCATATTTTAAGACATGAAAACTGTACTTTGTCTTCTGTGTGTGTGTGTGGTCTTTCTCTTGCCTTTCCAAATGTAACTGGATGTTATGATCATAAAACTTATTGTACTGAAGACCAGAAATTAAAGGACTCAGTCTAAGTTAGAAACCATTTTATTGGATTGAAGTTACTGCCATTTAAAAATTCTCAGCGCTCTAACATTCTAATTTTAACATGAGTCATCTGCAGGATTTCAGGATTTCACTCTGTTGTATAAATGACAGTGTGACCAGGCCTCCCCTTAAGCTCTTCAGTCCATGATGCAAGATGTCTTTCTCTGCTTTACATCATCTAGTAGTACTGAAACACTGAAGACTAAGAAGCTGGTAGTATAGCTGACTCTCTCAAGGACCAAGACCACAGACTTCATTTCAGTCTTCTTACTGAGTCCGGGTAGGCATTAATCTCTAACACATATTCTATTTCAGAGTCTAAATTGCTGTTTTGCCAGCATGGAAATAGAGAAGCAGTCAGGAAGTTGTTTCACGAGCTTAGGAGCTGGTGGCGTGGCTCAAGGATGAGGTTTCCTTTGAGGAACAGTTGTTAGCTGGTTTGAGGCCTCAGAGCAATGCTTCAGGGCAAGAGATTTAGAGCCAACAGATGCAACATTTATTTATTATGCCAGTGTTAAATATTTGATGGTTAAATATTGTGGTGGCCCAAAAATGTGAGCTATTCCACCTTGTCTGAAGGTCAGAGAGTTTGAGGTTGCTCAAAGTTGTTAACAATAAGTGTGGCTACACACCCTGAACTAGGGTGTGGTTACTTGGCGGTTTGAACACTAAGACGTCCCGTAGAGGTGTATCCTTTCCACCCTGACCAAAGGCCAGAGAATTCAAGCATACTTCTGCTCATTCTTTTGAAATAGGTTTGACCTAGGGAGTGTCTGTCCTCAGGATACTTGGTCTAGGCTGGGTTCACTGCCTAAACAACAGAATGCTTTTTGCATGAATTAATGGCTCGATGTCTCAAAGTATTGAAGCAAGTAACTCTTCTAGTTGTGCTTTGTATCATGTTAAAGCAGTCTTTGCATTTTTCTCCTGCTATATTGGGTATATATGGAAAATTAAATGTGGACAATTTCAGTATTCACTGGAACTCCCTCCCGGTAGTATTCTATGTTTCTGTTTTATTATTTTCACTCACATCTTTGTTCTCTTCACTTATTTTTCTAATCCCCCTGCCCCTACCCTGGTAAGTGGTATATTTGTCGAAGCTAGTCTTTAACATCAAACACTATTTCATTTCATCATTTTGATAGTTCTGGAAACTTTTACTATTATCTTTACTGGGAAATATATTTATGCTCAGAGAGGTTAAAAACTCACTAAGAGTTGCATAATAGAAATTCAAAGCAGGTGGGCATGGTGGCACATACTGCCATCCCAGCTCTTAGAGGCTAAGATGGGAAGATTTGGGGTTTAGGCTAAGCTGGTCACATACTAAGACTTTGTCTCAAAACACCAAAAGTAATGAATGAGAGATGGCTCAGACATTAAAGTTTTTATTTCAAAGCCTGAGCAGAATTTCTCAACACAAGCTCCATTGACTTTGGGGCCACATTTTCCTTTGCCGTGTGAGGTTGTCTTCTGTATGTAAACTGTTCAGCAAGATCCCAGGGCTAATGACACCAATACCTCTACCTCTGTTAGTCAAGCCAACAAAACTGTCCACATATATTACAATCGTTCCCTGTTTAGTAAAGATCTTTTCTAGTAATAAAACAATGTTCTTCTCCTCCTTTCTCTTATTCTTTTTTCTCTTCTCTTCTTCCTTCTCCTCTTCTTCTTTCTTCATCTTCATCATCATCTTCTTCATTATCATCATCATCAGTGGTAAGGCTTAATTTAAGGCCTTAGCTTTAAATTAAATTGTTTCTGAGACAAATATTCTACTATGGAGCAATATCTCCATCCCAAGTATGAATTTAATTTATGCATTTAGAAATTTAGTGTGCATAGTAATTCTCTCCTTCTCTCTGCTTTCTGGAAGCCACCGACTCCTTGACTTCTGCTCAATGCTCAGCCCCACATATTAAATAAGTGGCTAAGAATCTTGCCCCATGTTGATATTAAGGATACAGAACCTGGTATCCTGTGGCTACAACTTAATCAAAAGTCTGGGTGTGTTTTCTTTAATCTCAAGGCCACTCAACTTCCTGAGTCCATTAAGTTGTCAACTTCCAAGTGGTAGCTTTTCTTTACTTAGTTTTAAAACCTTGTTTCATACAATGAAACTTTTCCTGTTTCCCACCTTCTCCATTGTTGCAAAAGAATTGAACTCACTGTTTGCATTTATTCTCGTATTGGGAAGGCTCTCCATTTCACAGTGTTGGTGCTGTTCCACAGGGGTGCTTAGTTTGTAAGCATGGCTCTCTCTCTCTCTCTCTCTCTCTCTCTCTCTCTCTCTCTCTCTCTCTCTCTCTCACCACACTTGGATATTTTTGTGGTTTTGGTTTTCTTTCTATATTTTATGAACCGAAAGCATGTGGCCCAAACAAATGTTTAAGATGATAGCAGTGGAGTGCTCTACGAGGTTAAAATTCTTAAATGTATTTTAGTAAATCTGAGATTGAGACTTGCCTTTAAGTTATGGAGTTATTTTGCAATGAAGAATAACAGCTCTGCCCTGAGAGAAGCTCCAGTCTTGAGCTGAGGTCTCAGCATGAGGCAGTTGCTTGCTACAATACCGTTAAGGCGAGATGACAGTGCCCAGAGAGACATCTGGGAGGTGGAGGCTCTCCGTCTACATAGAGGGATACCATATATATATATATATATATATATATATATATNAGTACTTCTAAAATTTGTAATATTTTGGTGCATAGCATGATCATGATATTCCATCATCCAGACTGGAAAAGCAGGCAGACAAAGGTGAGCACAGAAGAACCCGGACATCCCAACAGAAGCTGGTCTGTCTGGTCCCGTCATCTACAGAGGAATCACTTTCTAACAGACACTTACTGTTATTCTTGTTTTGTTAGGCAAGACATTCTCCAGTGTTTGTAGTGCCCCATTTCACTTGTGTATTGAAAGGACCCAGGAACCATAGTGTGTCTTTGTGACCTTCAGAACCCAGCATTGCTCACGAGCAGCAGTGTTATTGTAGACCCGTCCATCGCCAAGATAAACATCCTCTCTTCATGAGTCTATATTTTCCCAGCTTTATAGGGCTCCAAGACCCACATCCTAAGGCATTTTTGAATAGAAGAGAACTGCTTCCCTTTACCTGGGTTTGCAGGGGGAGGCAGGCACAGTGCTTTTCTCCAGCAAGTTGCGAGCTTGGTACACATTCCTGCCCCTCCTGCCTAATGTGTTACCCAATGCTCTCAAATGCCTGATTGTCAACACACAGCTTCAGTGGATTGTGACTTTATGGTAATGCCATGCACCTTGAGAAAATATGGTCCTCTATTCCTGTAAAGAGACCTTAATTAAGCATTTAAATAAATTAAATATTTGGTAAATGATGCAACGTACTAAATTCTCCTGACCTTGTTCAAAGACTTGTAAAGAACATAATGCAATTTATTTTGTTCTAAAGTCTTATCTGTTCCCTTGGAACACTTCTTGCCACACCTTTAAAATCTCTTGCCTTCCATTATAGTTATCTACACTTTAGGTATCTTGTTTATTGGATGGTAAATTCTTTGTGAATTCCTATCTTGTTTATCTTCTTGTTCAACTTTAACCTGGTTTAGTCATAGGTAGGAAGACAGGCTTTTAATACTGTCCATAAGAAAAGAAGAAGAGGGTGGTGTGTGGTGGTACATGCCTGTAATTCCAGTGCTTGGGAAGTGGAGGCAGGAAGATCAAGAGTTAGAGGCCAGCCTGAACTACAGGAGATTTTGTCTCGAAGAGGAGGGCGGGTGGTGGAAAGATAGTTCAGCAGTTGAGAACACTGGCTGCTCTTCCAGAGGATTCAGCTTTGGTCCCCTGGACTCACTATCAACTCACAGCTCTCTGCAGTACTAGTCCCAAGGGATCCAGTGCTCTCTTCTGGACTGCATGATACTGCAAATATGTAATACACAGACATATGTGCAGACAGAATATTCATATTCTCTCTCTCTCTCTCTCTCTCTCTCTCTCTCTCTCTCTCTCACACACACACACACACACACACGAGAGAGAGAGAGGATTATACATGAAAGAGAAACTAACCATTTTATCATTTGCCTATCCTAAAATGTCCCATGTTTACATTGTATTCCCTATTCCCACCTCTCTCTCTCTCTCTCTCTCTCTCTCTCTCTCTCTCTCTCTCTCTCTCTCTCTCTCTCCTTATGGTATGAATTTCTCATAAGGAATTCTATCAGTTGAAATCTAGCCAGGAAATCAGAGCTAGTGTGAGTGTTACAGAATCACGGTTCTATTATAGGGAGCAGACATTTAAAAACTAAGGGAGTAGTTGGATTCATGACTGTCCCAAAGGGAAGGAAGCTGGGGCATGGGATGAGTCACTAACTGACTTAAAGTTCCCTTAAAGTATTTGCACAGGTGATATCAGCGTTCGGAGGGAAAATCTGAGAAGCTATGTATGTTCAGTCACTCACATGGAATGAAGACAGAAACTCATGTAAATATCTACAGAAATCTTCTGTATTCGTGTAGCTATGTTGTCTTGTGGGTCAACAAACAAACAAACATTTTTAAATAAACAGAAGCCACATGGATCAGCAGTTAGGAAGACAGACCGGACACAGTGGAAGGCCAAGCGACCCTGGAACCTGGTGGTCAGTTTTGGATCTTGCCTTCACTGTATCTCAGGACAATGACATACAAAGAATAATGCCAGAGACTTCATTCCCACCCACCAAGCCTTATGAAATTTTCTTTTTAAGCAAACCTTAATCTAGACTATATGGAGAAGATCTTTCTGGAAACTTTTACTCCTAACTTTTTGATGTTAATAATACAATGGTCTAGCATAGTAATACTGTAGTCATACTGCCCATAGAGACAGCCTACTGAAACCATATTCAGAATTTAGGAGGGAGCTAAAAAAAGAAATCCAGTTTCTAACACAGTGGCTCACTGGCATTCAGCTACGCTTATCATGTTTACTCCCCAAGCTCTGTAGTAGTTTGAGGAATGCCTCCCATAGACTTGTGTATTTGAATTCTTGGTCTCAGGAACATTTTTGGGGACACCTCAGTGGTCCAGCCATGTTGGAGGAAGTACCCCCAATGTGGACTTTGTGATTAAAAGCCTCACATTGTTTCCAGGTTTCTCTTTTTGCTTTGTGTTTTCACTAAAGGATGTAAGCTTCCAGCATCCTGTTCCTGCTGCCTGTCTCCTGCTCAGTGCCATGCTTCCCACTGAGACGGACCCTTATCCCTCTGGAACCATAAGCCCAAAAGAAGTAAGATCTTAGGATGCATAAAATAAGATCTTTCTTTGGGAGCATCTTGGGATGCTTGCCTACGGAGCACAGCTACCACTGGGGGGGGGGGGGACGTGGGTCAAGTGAAGAGGCAACATGCAGGTGTGCTGGTTCTTGGTCTTTGAACTTCTGAGCAGAGGCTCATCCACCTTTAACAGAGACGAGCCATCTCAGTTGTACCCAGTTCCTTACCCACAGAACTGCTCAGTGGTAATAGATCAGTAACGCGTTAAGTTACAAGTTTGGGTGGTGAATTAAGAATACCAGTAGATAACTAGGCCAGATGACTCTGAAAAGTGCCATCTGCTCTTGTGATAATCCACCTTCATTTTGCTTTTCTTTTATGGTTCTGTCTTCCTGACCTCCCTGCAAGAAGATTAAGTAAGAGCTTTATAGCTATTATAATTCATTTGAACCAGTGTTTCTCTGTTGGTATATTTTCTACCTTGCGCTAGCTGGTCTTATGTCAATTTGACACAAGCTTGAGTCATTTGGGAAGAGGGGACCACAGTTGAGAAAATACCATCATGGATTGGCCTGAGAACAAGCATATGGGACATTTTCTTGATTGGTGATTGGTGTGAGAGGGCCCAGTTCCCTATGGACAGTGCCACTCTGGGGCTGGTGGTCCTGGGTGCTGTAAGAAGGCAGGTTGCGCAAGCTATGGAGAGCAAGCCAATAGGAAACCTCCTCCATGGCTTCTACTTCCTGCCTTCTGGTTCCTGTCTTGCTTGAGTTTCTTCCCTGACTTCTCTCAGTGATGGGTCGTTACCTGGACCTGGATATCTAAGCTGAAACAAACCCTCTTCTCCCCAAGTTGCTTTAGTCATGATATTTATCAAGACAGTAGAAACTCCCAGAAATTGACTCCATATTTATTGCTGTGACAGACTGACCTTGTTTTTTGGGTAGGACTGGGGAAGAACTTTGAATCTTTGGAATAGAGAAATCATTGAGTATTCAGAGCTCAGGTAGTTGCTTGCCACAAAACAAAGTCCATGTCTTTGTTGTTGTTTTTGTTGGCTTTTTGTTTTATTTTGTTTTGGCATTTTTTTTGGTCTTATTTGTTTTTTGATATTTTGGGTTTTGAGAGAGAGAGAGAGAGGAAGTTGGGTTGGGGGAGGGTTGGTAAGGATCTTGAGGAGTTAAGAGAGGAAAAAAAAACATGATCAAAATACAGTGCTTGAAAAAATTTTAAGTTAAAAGAGTATTTCAGAAGGAAGATTAGTCTTTCCTCTTGTTCAGTTGGCCTTCACTCTTGCTACTGGGTTGATTTGCTCCATTGTTGCTGCTGCCACCATTTTCTTCCCGGCTGTCAGAATCAACGTTTCCAAGCTTTTATCTTAGACGAAAGACCAGTGGCTCTATAGTGCCTCTATAGGAAGCTCTGGGTTCCAGGGCCAGATTAGGACTATAGAGGCACCCTGCATTGTGAACTTAGTAACTACCAGTGGTCATTGCTACATAAAAGACAGCATTTGGGTACTATTTCAAGGAATGAGTGACATCCAGATTCTTAGTATCTCAGGTGTGCCCTGGCTGTCATTATTTTATAGCTTACTTAGTAAATTCTGATACATAATTTATATGTGTGTATACATTAAGATATAATGTATGTGCACATTGATAAATAATTTATATATGTATACATATACGCATATGAAATGTATCATGTGTAGATATGTACATATATGTATGTATATACATCATCCATATGTTCATTTCTTTGGTTCTGTTCCTGTAGAGAACTATAAAACACACCTTTTGTAGCATAACTTTAGCATTTTCTTAGGCAACATACTCCTTTCAACCAAGAAGGAGGATATAGAAGGAAAAGTATATCAAAGAAACAAGCAAACAAAAGCAAGAGAAAGTAGCTTTTTCTGATACTACTTACATGGTATAGCAGGGACTCACGGTAGAATGCAGTCAATGAATATTGCTGAATAAATTAATACATTACTGTGACTTAGTATTGAAAGAAGATTTACATGGGCTCTTGATTTACATGGGCTTCACTGAGGGTCACGTTAAAACCTGTCTTGGCAGTGTGTGGCCCAGGGCTTGTGTCACACAGCGATTAGTTTGAGGGATACAGATTGGGTACAGTCACACATGGGTGGGCCTGAAGTGTTCCAGTTTGTTCTAAGGTAAGTGAGGGAATCCGTAAGCTCTAGTCAGGGATTTTACCGTTTCACATTGATTATCAACTCAACACGCTCTGGAATGATCTAGGAGACAAGCCTCTGGGAGGATAAGATGTGGGATTATCTGGATCAGGTTAGTTGAGGTGTGAAGACTCTCTCAATGTGGGTGCGACCACTTCATGAACTGGGGTCCCAGACTAAATGAAAGGAAGAAAGCTATCTGAGCATGAACATTCATGAATCTGTGTTCTTGTTTCAGAAGCCATGTGACCAGATACCCTATGTCACCATGGCTTCACCCTTGTGATGAACTATGATAGAGTAGGAACAAACTCATCTTCCTTAAGATGCTTTGGCCAGACGTTTTGTTGTAACAAGATAAGTAGCGAGGACAGGAGCTCAGGTGAGTGTGTCCCGTGCAACTGAAGGGATTTTCTTGATGGCTAATTCCCTAAAGGTAGGCCTTCAATTCTGCCGCTACTTTAGACTATAACAAGCAGTATCTTGTCCCTTTTAGGCATCCACATTCTTCACCAACATGATCCTACGGACACTGGCAAAAACTAGGCTGGTATCATCAGACAACTTTGGTGTCCTCCTTCTCTGATCTGATGTCATCCTCAGCACCACAAACAGCATAGGCTTTGCCTGGGAAACTATAATTTCTGCCTGTAGGCAACATGAACAGAGCATGAGGTCTTGGTGAAGTGGGTCAAAGTTCTGGTTCTGAAGTCTGTGAGACTTATGTTTGAACCAAGAAACGGTTGGGTACTGTGATGAAGAGAAACCTTGTAGCTACTTTAGAATTTATTTTCATTTTTTTAAATGAACCTATTGATAGTATCTGGGTTCACTGGGTAGACAGATGCTGCTTATCACATTACATTATGTCCCTGGCACATGGTAATCATCCATTAGTAACTCCTACTAATATCATTTTAAATTTAATCTTTGTCAAAAAATATTTCTGATTCAATTGTCCCTTGAAAAAATCAAAATTAATTGTGATGCATTTGATTTTCCTATTTTCTGGCTTTTTGTGCGAAGCCAAAAACTATGAATTCACCCTTTTAGTTCAATCTCTCTCATGAAGTATTACCCATATTTCCATTTGAGTCTTGTCTCTTTCTTGAAATTTCTGCCACTTATATTACAAAGACATATTCCATTATATTCTTTTTCTAATTTCTTATTCTTCCTCACATGGCTCTGGGTGTTTTCTTGATTCCTTATAAGAATTTAGTGCCTTGAAGAGCGATGTCATACTATTTCTGTAGCATCTCGAATATTCTAGACCGTGTTAAGAGAAAACTAGACTGAAAACCAATTGTACGTAGTACTTACTTGTTTCAAAGATCTTGGAAGAACCATTCCTCTGTTCAAATGGATCAAAAGGGCAGGTCATGAAAGGTCAAAAATAATCTGGGCTCTGTCCAGGGAGAGATGAACCTTTAGCCTCATTAGGACCGAAAGAGCTGGCTACATGTCACATGTGCCTAGGGACATGTGAGGAATGTATGTCCAGCATACATTCAGTATAAATAATCTGGTTGAACGAACCACATGGTCACATGTCTTCTGCTCTATTCCAAAGTCACTGGAATGCTCCTGGAGATGTGGGAAAAGGATCAAATGCCTACCAACAGGCTTCTCTCTTGACATCTCCCAGATTTCTCAGCAGGCCAATGTCAGGGTCTGGGCTGGAATAGAAGGCTGACAGACAATAGAATACAGTGCCTAAGCAGGTCTGAGAGAATGGAAAAATTGATTCATTGGAGGCCCACGCTGCCAATTCAGGGGCGGTTGGAGAAAGGGCTTTCAAAACTTACTGTGTGGAGGCTGGCAGCCATGCACAGGGTGACATGCCAAAGCTTGCATCGGAGACAGGGTGGGTTCTACCTGAATGAATCATAGCCTTCAAAAGCTATGGGACCTCCCAATTATCTGTATCTCTGCCAATCTCTCAGAATGGTTTGGACTGACACTGTTAAGGCAGAGACCAAAGGGGAAAAACCAGAGCAGTTCAGGTTCACAGTTAGTAGACTG